TTGATATTTTTAATTTTTGAGGTAGACCAAAAATTTGCTTGCAAACATTATATTTTCTCTCTTTACAAATATTAATATGTCCTAGTTTTATTTCACATATCAATGAAATGGTTGGAAATTCATGACAAATATAAAATGGTTATGATTGCAAACTTCTTCAATTTTAGGGGTTGAATTTAATGAGAATTCAGGTACAATTTACATTAAATGTAGTCTTTTTTTTTTTAGTTATATCTTAAAAAAATGTAACAAAATGTTTTTTATTTGTAGTTTTTTTTTTGTTCTGGGAATCTTGGATATAGAACTTATTATTCTAGGCCTGTTGGCTTATCATTTATTTACTGACAATCTTAGAACTCAGCCTCATTTCTTTCCTTTTTCTTAATCACAGATTTTAGTCTCTAAAAAAGTGAAGAGTTCAAGAGAAGAGACGTACTACTAAAGGTCAAACAAGGAATGTGAACTACCAAAGCCAAAGATAAGGCATATAATAAAATTCAGAGATCAGGACAGAATTATGTGAACACAGGACACATTCATCCGCTCACCTCTCAGGATGTAGATTATAGGCTGGTTTACTTACTACTTCAGGAGGGGTTTTGAAGGGGCTCTCCTGGCTTCAGCTGCCTGTGTTCAGCTTTTTGCTGTTCAGAACAGATTTCTGTCCTTGTTTGCCACCCCTGAAGCCTGGGGTTTTGTATAAATGAGACCCTTGAGATGCCTGAGGTGCTGCTCTTTAGGTTTTCCTTACTCTGTCCCAAGCATCCTCCAGGTTCTTCTTCACATTGCAATGAGAATAAGACCCAAAGTGCTCTTAGGGGTTGGTGAGGTAATTTCTGGGACTAGATCCATTTAACTCTAGTCCCAGGGAAGCCCCTCAGATGGACAGCTTTTCACTCCAAGATCCTCAGGGATGAATTAATTCTTGTCTGATGAATAATGTCCCTCCTTACAGGAAGGTTTTGAAATCTCTCTCTCTCTCAAAATGTATCTGTACTTCATATCCTTTCCAGAGATTGCTCCTATCTATTTTCTGCTTCACAAAGGTTGTTAGCAACCCGTATATGTTGCTTCCTCATCCTCATCTTCTACATACTTATCTCACCAAATTTAATTTTTGTCTCAACATCACATCGAAATTGCTCTTTCTAATGACCTCAAATTGACAAAAATAATGGATATTTTTTAGAACTTAATCTTACCTGAGCCCTCTTCGATATTTATACGTTTTTTTGTTCCTTCTAGGACTACTTGCCTTTCTTGCCTTCTATTACATTGTATTTTTAGTGTTAATTTAACTGAAATAAAAAAGTAATATTGAATTTGTATTCAGATCAAATGCTCCTTAATGAGAGATGCATTCTTTGATCATTCAATCTAAAACAGCAATCCCTGACTCTGTCATTCTTTGCTTTATCTCCATGGCATATATCATGCCATGCCATATTATAAAGTCATTTTCTTTTCTTTTCTTTCTCTCACACTAAAATGTAAGCTCCCTGAGATCATGCTTTTTGTTATACTTGTTCACTGCTGTATCCCCAGAACCTAGACTAATTCCTGGCGTACAGCAGGTGTTTAATGAATATTTGTCAAATAGATGAATGAATATTGAGGAGAGTGAGTTGGGGAGCAGCCTAGAGGAATTTCAATGTTATTGTGTTTCTAGTAATTTTTGACTTAGAATTTCTGGCAGCATTCTTTAAGCAACAAAAAAAGTAAATGAAATATTTTTAAAAACTTATTTCAGAAAATTAAAATAAAAATCAAAGTCCTGTTAATAGTTTATGGAGATAGAATACATTATAAATTTTAGTCAATATATGGAATTCACTTTTTGTCACACCAAATAAACACAACGTGTAAAAGAACATGGTCAGGAAAGCAGTTCTAGTTGAATAGTAATGATTTATATTCTTAAGTTTGTTAATAAATTTACATATTGATAAAAATGTAAAGTCACAACAAAGAAGGATTTGGAAATAACGATGTGTTGTTTAGGAGACTAAAACATTCTGTGGAGAGAAATGATTTAGATTTCCAAAGGAAGAACATTGGCAAGCATGTCTCAGGTAGGCTTATTCTCTACAGCTGAAATCACAAGGTATCTAAGGAAGTTTATAAATGTCTAAAATTGCCTTCCCTGACAGAATGTCAGTCTGCTCTAGGAAAAATTGTTCTCTCTGATAGTTTTCACCAATCAACTTGCCCAAAGGAAAGGTAAAATCTGCTCAATAGGTTTCTTCATGGCATCAGAGGAACCAAATGAAATGATAATGACAGTATAATGGGATGGAATTAACCCCATTTTTTGACCACAGATGATGAATTGGTGATATGTCCTAAACTGTACCTTAGATGACTGAATAATAAAAAGAAGCTCAATATGGCAAGATTATGGAATACTATGAACTTGGAAAAGGAGAATTTAAAGAGGAGCATATGGATGATCATCAGAAAAGTCCTCTTCTGAATTCAGAAGTGGACTAGAATCAACAAGTGGATGCTCTAGATAAGTGGTCATGAGGTTATTTTAGTTATGCTATAATGGGCAATCAATCAATAAATCAGTTTAATCCACTGACTCCCTCTGAAGCTCAAAATTATTCTGTTTGTCAACAGTGACAACCAGAGACTTAAGATCATTATAGGCCACTATCCAGAATTACATGTAGTCACCGAATGGATTTCACTGGCTCCAGGAGGATATTGATGATTCCTGACAGGGATAGGCACATATTCTGGATTTCGATTTGCATTTCTGGTAATGGAAACAAATGTTTCAAATATCATCATAAGATTAGAACAAAAAACATTTTAATTTGGACTCTCCAGTTACATATCCTCATATGAAGGGACCCATTTACTGCCTTATATCATAGAACCAAAGGAAAAAGAGAAAAATTAACCTGTTATCTGGAGTGATTAATCACAATTATTGAGAGAAAATTAGTTTGCTTCTATACAATGGCAACAAGTAGACTATGCTGGGAACTCAGGGCATTCTCCGAAGTATCTTTTAGTATTTCTATGTCCAAGAGTAAAGATTAATGGAAAAATATACCAACGAAAAAAAGTGCTAAATCCTTAGCAGGATGCTAAATCTTTAGCAAAATGATGGAGAATTCAGACCCTTTATGAATGACGGTTTTTCTGTAGTTTTTTATAGTTTTGATGTGGTTGTGAGAGGAGGTGAGCACAGTGTCTACCTACTACACCATCTTGAATGGAAGTCAAAACCCCTACAATTTAGTCTTTAGGTAACAGAATATTCATTGGGACTCTGATTGAATTTGAGAAATAGATTATATATCCAGCAATGCATACAATGACTCTTGGGACTGTGCATCTTGTTATTTTGGGGAAAGGGTGAGAATTCTTTCCTTTATACGAGAATAACTGTATCTTTTAAAATAGATGTATCGAGTTGTTTTATTGTTGTATGGGAGTTCAAATGTGCATAAAAGGGTGCATATGGAAGCTGAGCAGTCAAGAGTGTGAACTATGCTTGTAATCAACTTACCGTGACTAAGTTACAAACATATATTTTGGCCTGCTCTGCGAAAGTGGATCTGGGCTCTTTAAATAATAAACCTTGTCAGCTGGAATGATGATGAATTTTGTCAGCAGAGGCAGTGGAGAGACATCGTAAGGAGAAAGTTTTATTAAAAAATGTTTTTTAATTGAGATGAAATTCACAACATATTAACCATTTTAAGGTATTTAATTCAGCGGCTTCCATTACATTCACAATGTTGTGCAACTATCAGTTCTAATTATAGAAATTTTTATCACTCTCAAAAGAAATCCTATATCCATTAAACAGTTACCCATTTTTCCTTTCCCTTAACCAATGGCAGTCACTTGTCTGCTTTCTATGCTTACAGAGGTGCCTATTTTGAACAATTCATATAAATGGAATCAGAATATGTGTCTTTTTCTGTCTGGCTTCTTTCAGTTAACGTAAAAATTTCAAGGTTCATCTATGTTGTAGCATGTATTAGTATTTCTTTACTTTTCCTGGTTAGATAATATTCCATTGTATGGATATATCACATTCTGTTTATCTAGTCATCAGTTGCACATTTGGGCTGTTTTCATCTTTTGGCTATTATGATGTTGTATGAACATTCATATACAAATCTTTACATGGACATGTGTTTTCAATTCTTTTGGGTATGCACCTAAGAGTAGAATTCCTGGGTCATATAGTAACTCTTGTTGAATCACTTAAGAAGCTGCCAGACTGCTTTGTAAAACAGCTGCATCAGTTTACATTCTCACCAACAGTGTATGAGCTCATGGTTTCTGATGTTATTTCAGCCCCAGTGCTGCTGCTAAGAGGTGAAATCATATGCAAACTTCCTGAAGTCATTCTTTAGACCATAGTCTAAGATATTTTCTTTGCTACATAGGATTTAGTGACCATGTTATGTCTCAGGATTGACTGTATCATGAGTAAAATATTTATTAAGCATCTATTCTACACAGAGTTGTATACTAGGCTCAGAGAAGGTACAAAATGAACATGAATTAGGGTCCTTGTACTCAAAAGTGTGCATTTTTGTTAGACATGAAAATGATAAAGATTAATTAAGATTTAATTAATTGGTTATCTGGAACCACGTTTGTAGGGAATTTTCTAGAATTGTTTTCTTCTTTTCCTAGGTAGAACACTTTATCACAGAATTAGAATTTTTCCATGTGTATATCTCAAAGCATGGTAGCTGTGTATAAGGTTGTCAATCTCTGGGAGGCAACAATGTCAAGGATATTTTATTTTTCTACTCTTACTTATTTCTAGTAATAGGAAATTTCATGGTAATTTCCATATGCCTCTTTCAATTCGTGAGGCTGACAGTTTTATGATGTTATTGGCCATTTTTTTCCCTAGTGAGAGTTGAAGGGAGATTACAAACCAGGTCTATTCAGAGTTAAAACCTCTTCCTTTCCTTATACCTTAATGGCTTTCTAAAGCTGGAATTACTTGTAGACACTTCTTAACCCAGCCTAAGCAGCCTCTGGAAGCCTTGTCTGAGCTTGTGTGTTCTGAGGGCATATACCATAGGGTTGAGTGCAGGAGGAATGACATTGTGCAGCACATTAAGGAGCGCAGGGATAAGGGGAATCTTTTTTTCTGCATGGTGTGTGACAGATAGAACAGCGATACCTGTGTAGAAGAAGAGGATGAGGATGAGGTGGGAACTACAGGTGCTCAGAGCCTTGGACATTGCTTCTGCTGAGTTCAGCCTCAGTACAGTGTGAAGGATTAGAGCATAGGAAGAAAAAACCAAAGCCATATCACTGCCAACCAGGGTCCATGCTAAGATCAGTTGGTAAAATTTGTTTACAGTGCTGTCATCACAAGCCAGGCTGGTAACCCCCAAGTTAGAGCACAGGCAGTGGTCAATTTCATTCTTGGAGCAGTAGAATCTTTGGGCAGCTAGCACAGGCACTGGGATGGTCAATAGGCCATTTCTAAGCACCATGAATCCTGTGACTTTGACCATAAAAGCTTCAGTGACTATGGAGGGGTAGCGAAGGGGGTGACAGATGGCTATGTATCTGTCCATTGCCATGCAGAGGAAGATACTAGACTCCATGCAGAAAAAGCAGTGGATGGCATAGATCTGAGCAAAACACTCAGGGAGGCTGATGACCTTGGCATCAAACCAGAAGATAGCTAGAATCTTGGGCATGATGGTGGTGGCCAGGCCAATGTCCACCACTGTCAATATGCCCAGGAAATGGTACATGGGCTCATGCAGACAGGGCTCATGTTGGATGGTGATCAAGATAAGGAGATTGGCACCAAGAGCTAAGATGTAGAGCAGAGCCAGGGGCAGGGAGAGCCAGTGCTGCCACTCATGAATGCCTGGGAGCCCCATCAAGATGAACTGGGAAATCTGGAAGCTGGAATTGTTGATAACACTGGTGGAGGTATCCATGGCACAGGTGTCCCGTTCTCAGGGTCTGTACACAGAACTAAAATAGAAAGGAAGTTGCATTTGTAAGTTCAACTGAGGGTCCTGATTAGAGACCCTCTAATCAGGAATCAACCCAGTTTCTTTTATTCATTTATGAATGACCCTCAATTTCTTTTGGCTCCTGGAACTGTTCCAGAGAAGAGAAATAAAGTAAGCCCAAATTGGTTCTAAACAGGAAGGTTAAAACAGCTATTTGTCAGCACAACTTGTATGTCTAATAAGCATGTCCAAATATATCAACAATCTTCTCACTGACAGATAATAATTATTAATATTTGATTTACTTCCAGTTTTATGTTTTATGTTTTAAGCAGTTGACATTATATATTAAGATAACTTTGTAGCTTGCCTTTGTCTCATAGCAGTACATTATAAGACATAAAATAGGTACTCAGTAAAAATACATTGCATGGATGAATAAATGGACCATGGCTTTCCAATATCATTAAAAACAATGTGTTATCTTAATTCTAATGACTGCTTTATATTCCTATATTTGGCTATTTCATAAATTATTCACCAATATTTTACTTTTCAGATTATTTCTTTTGAGTAGAATTTCAAAAATGATACGTACAAAGGGCATCAACACTTTAAAAATGTACTTTTAACAGTATTTTGATATTATTTTTAATGTCATGCATGCACATGGTAAAAAATCAAATCAAATAAAAAATATAAAATATAAAAAGTAAGACTCCCATGCTTGGGCTTCCCAAATCCCCTCCTTTTCACCACAGACAGCCAGTAATACTGGTTTCTTGGGAATCCTTCCAGAAATATATATATTTTTTTCATGGACAAGAATATATGTATATGTATTTCTCATAAAAGACAAAAATAAATGTTGGCATACTAATCATACTTTTTTTATCCTTTGTTTCCGTTCCTTTTCTTTTTTAGCCTAATTATCTTGAAGACTGTTCCATATCACCATATAGATATGTCTCATCATTGTTAAGTTGCTTGATTTTCTACCACATGGATGCCTGATATTTTTATGAGCACTTTTGATGAACATTCGATGTTTCCAGTACTTGCTACTGTAAAAATGATTAGAAAAATGGAAATTGTTCATATATCTTTAAACATTATGTGTAAGTTTATCCATAGGATAATTTCCAACAAGAGAATTGTTGGGCAAAATGGGAAAAAATGGTTTTGAGAGATATTGCCAAATTGTCTTTTCTAGAGATTTTTCTGGTCCTGTATGATAATAGGGCATTTTAAATACTCTTGACATACACTGAAACATTGCTTCATAGGTATACCGTAGTACTTTACGTACTCAAAATTTGTTCATGAGTATGTCTATTTAATCACATCCATGCCATAATTGGAAATTTTAATTTTAAATCTTTATTAATTGAATAAGTAAAAATTGATATTTCAATTTTGGTTCACCTTTACTTCACTGTTTTGTGAACTTTGCCATTTTCAAAGGTTTTTTTTTTTTCCATTTATACGTTTAGTCGATTTTCTTTTTTAGCTTTATGTTCAAGTGCTTAACATGGAGTCTGGCAGCATAACTTCATGAATTTGTATGAGTTTCATAATATCTTAACAATAGTACCTCTATCTGTTGAATTTTCTGGAAATATTTATTACTATTCATTTCTTAACATAATTCTATCCTTTTTAAAAACAAATTATACATGTGCATACACTTAAACTTTTATGTATTCATAAGAATTGCATTTTTAAAAATAATTATTTCATGATTTTAAGCTTTAAATAATGTAAAATCCAGTATTTTAAAGTATTTACTTGCATTTTCTTTACAAAATTTATTTTAAAATTAATTTGGTAAACAATTTGAAATTGTACATGGAGTGAGAAACTCTCTAAAGTAATTTTACCCACAAAGCGCTAACTCATTATTCCAGCACCATTCAGTAAGTAAGCTTTCTCCTACCCATTAATTTGCAATGTGCTTTTTTGTCAAATATTGAATTTGAACATATAATCAAGGATCTTTGCCTGACTGAACAGTCTTCTCCCTTTTTAGTGCCAGTAGTAATTGAATTAGTGTTTTTACTATATGGTAAGAAACATTTTTACTAGTAATTTCAAATAATTTTTTAAATTAAAAAAACTAGTTGTAGTTTTTTTGAACATTAAAGTAAAACATAAATTAATTGTGGAAGAACTGATGTCTTTACCTGATTGATTCTTTCCATTCAGAAATCTAATATGTCTTTCCTTTCTGTCGCTGGTATTTTTGGAATTTTTTCCCATTATTATAACTTTTTTATTTTATTATACTTCCTAATTGGCCATTATTACTTTAAAAATCTTCTGATGATTATTGCTTTTTAAAACATTTCACAAAATACAACTATTTTACATTATTGCTTTACAAAACTAATATCTTGTTTGTAAATTCTCAGAATTTTTTTTGTAGAAAAATGAATTACCTATTATGAGAATTTTGAATAGTGTAAGTTCTCATTTTTATTTTACATCTTATTAAAATGTTTATAAATTTCTGAACAATATAAAGAAGCGTCGATAGTCAAGATCTTTGTGTGGGTCTGGACTTTCTGAGGAATGCCTCTAGAGATCCCTTCAGTGGGGTTGTGGCTAATGCTTTTTGGATAAATGGTCTTTATTAGTTTTGGTGATTTGATGTCTATTCATAGTTCTTGATTTTATTTTTGGATCAGAAATGGGTGAATTCAATTGCTCTCTTTTTTCAGGATCATGCATCTGTAATTTAAATGGGAAGACCTCCTGCTTTCACCATTCTGTCAGCACTGGCAGCTCGCCTCTCCTGCATTAGGCTCTGTGATGGTCACCCTTTCCTCAAGTTTCTACTCTTTCTATCCTGTCTAGAGGAGAGCTCCATCTCATTTTGTTTCCCAGACCTGAGGTCTTTGTCTCTTTGTATAGGTGAAGATTTTGAGAGAAAAGAGGGTCAGAGTCAGAACAATTAAACTAAGAAAGCAAACTGAGAAAACCCAAGTGGGAGGAGAAAGAGAGCAGGGGATACAGAGCAAGAAAACGGCCTCCTCTCACCCTGTCCAATGGTTGCTCCCTGGTAGGAAGTCCTAGAGAGATCTTCTCCAAATAGTACTGTCTTCTGTAACTGCTTCTACTCTCTTGGCTACACCTCTCTTTTATGCCTTTATTATGGAGAGTCCATTGTCCCCTCTCCCCTGGGGCATGGGCTATTGCAGAAATGGAAGACTGAAGATGCCCTGGGCCTTTGTTGCCACTCCCTAGGACCTCCAGGAGGCTCTCTCTATTTTTTCTTTTCCTGTGTGCATCAAGGCTCATTGTTTTTTCATCACAGCTCCAAACGTCTCCCAGTGATCTCAGAGATATATCAAGCTCAGCTCAGGGAACAGAAGTACTCAGTCCCAAATCCCATGGGAAGCACTATTAGATGGTCATCTCTGTTGTAATGAAGGTTTAGGAAGAGGTGTTCCTCCTTCTGTGTAAATCCCCGAACCCCTGCAACCACCTCCATATGTACCTCCCTTCAGTTTCTTCTGGGAGCATTTTCCAGCAGATTTATTCTGTATACTTTATTTTTTACCACATCTATATGTAAACATAAAAATGTAGATGACTCTTGCTTAAAACCTCCTATTTCCCCCTCCAGATCTGCTTTGCCCCTTGCTCTACTCATAGATGTTAAAGTCTATGGCCTCTGTTTATGTTTGGATTTGGCCAATGTTAGTCACTGGCCAGAGATCAGAGGGCAGCAAGAAAGATAAGTTGAGAGATTTATTCTTCTGAATCTTTCTCTGCTGGTCTCCCTATTGGGCAGTGTCTGTGTTCCTCTTCTGCCCCTGTCAGGTTGTTCCCCCATGGCTCTTGTCAATACTAGTGGCTGTTTCCTCCTATTGCTCCTCAGGCATGTGGGATGATAATGGCTTTTCAGGTTGACATCCAAGGTATATTTCACCATCTTTTCAATTTTATTTTATTTTATTATTTTAATTTTGAAAACTTTCCCCATGTTTTTGGAATATATTTTTCATTACACTCTACTCTATCTCCCTCTTCATATGTGCCATCTGCTTCCTGCTGGAACTTCAACCAACATGCCTCCTTATTTCAACTATCTCTCTCCCTGACCCCCACTCCAGAATCTGCACCCATCTCTTCCTTTTCTTTCATGAATTTCCTGAAACATTTCTTTCAATTCACAGCTCCCAATTCCTTACCTCTTCTAAACCTATTTGAGACTTATATTCTCCCACTAAACCAAATTGTTCCCTCTTCTCCTATTTTCTGCAAGTTTGCATAAGGTTGTTGTTGTTCCTTTCTTAAATGTTTGATATTTAATTTACCAGTAAATACTTGATTCATTTTCTTCCTTTTACCCCATTGCCACTGATCACTTCCAGGATTTCACCAAGTCTTACCTCCTCTAATACCATACCTTCTTTCTATGCCCAGAATACTATGCAATAAATCTATTAAAGCACTGTCTATCATTGTTACTTCCCTTGCTTAAACAATTTCCTCATCTGCTATATTGTCATCCTTGACCTCCTATTAACGTGCAATGCTGTTTGGAAGAGTACTTAATGCTTGTCACAGTCTAGGTCCAAATCCCTCTCTTACACCTCATCCTTCTCCACTGCTCTCTTACCATTGATCTCTTAGCTTTTCCTCAATAATTCCATACTTTTGGAGTTTTGGTACCCTCTTTAATGCTAGTGAGTCATTCTGGAATTTTCTATTCCCTCTCTTCAATTCTCGCTAATGTTGCCTCATTTATGAAGCCTTTCCTGATTCCCATAGGCATAATTACATGTTCTCCCTCCAAGGCGTTTTCATCTCTTCAAGGTGTGGTCAAAGGTCTTTGCATGTACCTCTGCTTTGCCTTTGCTGATGCTTTGCCTCAGTTTCAAGTGTATTTTCTACCTGACCCTGTTTTAAACTTCTGTATTTCTTTCCACAATCTTAAGAGAAACTCTGGAATTTTTAAAAAATCTAAATCATTG